TTAAAAAGCCAAGCCCTCACCAGAAAATGCCAGCTGGACCTCAAGACTTGGCCAGTTTGRTCRAAGTTTTATGAGCCAAACTGTGGAYATTTCTATKCAACCCCTCYCTGCCCTGCTCCATCTCACCATCTCTCCAACCATCAGCCCTCGGCCTTGGGCTGCTGCTCTGCATCTGGAGTTCCTCCTGGATCCCGAGACTGGGTGAAACCCACAGCACCCAAACCACCAGCCCTGGGTAAATCCAGTATATGATGGAATATGCAGCAGGAAGGAGGCATTCRTKGAATCCCAGACTGGTGTGGGTTGGGAGGGACCTTAAAGCCCATCCCTGCCTCGAGCAGGGACAGCTCCYACTATCCCAGGTTGCTCAGAATCCTCCTTTTCCTAAAGATTTGCTCTCTGTCCTCTTTTCTTGCCCCACCATTTCCTGTAAGATTCACTGCCACAGTCTAAACCATGTTTTCCACCCACTGGGATGGATGGCTGCTCCCAAAACATCCCCTCTGGAATGGGGTGTGCTCCAGATGTTCTGGAGCAACATCCAGCTGTGTGAGGCCAGCAAGGCAGCACACCCTAATTATTCCCCAGTTTCAGTACCTGAGCCACACTGAGTCATTACTGAGGTTAGTGCTTCAGCTGCACSGAGTTATTTCCCTTTGCTGATTTGAAGGAACTTTATTTCCCTGTTGATAGAAATAATTATTGTCATCAGCCCTGTAAAATGTTTTCTTTGCAATGAAAGAAACATCACCTGATTGTGGAGCACCTTAAATTACATCTTGCTAGGCTGCAAATTATCCATCTGCTGCCTCCAATTAGCCAGGAAGGTACGAGGGGGACTGGGAGAGGAGGTGGATCATCATTTCATGGCTTGTTCTGCTGGTGTGCAATGGGATACTGGGAACTAATGGGTGCCATCTGCTGTGAGCGTGGAAAATGGGATAATGCACATCAGCCCCTGATGGCTCTGTCAGAAACATATTGCTGGGAGGGATTTGTTATCCCAGCTCCYGCTGGGCTGCATTTCAGGATTTGTTTCTATCCTAATGAAGAAATGGTTTTCAGTTGTTTTGTTCTACACACATGAAATGCCTGGATTTAATAAAGTCATGGGGAAGGTGTCCCTTGATCTATAAGGTTCATTCCAACTCAAACCATTCTCTSATTGCAAGTGTCACTAAGGGCCCTGGTAAAGTTGTAAAAATTTAATCAAAGATGAAAAAGGGGAAAAAATAGAATAAAAATTCTATTTAATCTCAAGCTCCCAGCCATAACTGTATTTTACAGAAGTGGAATCATCCTGAAGGTTTCCCAGGTGGCTGAGCAGGGATGYCTCACACAATCCTCACAGACACTCATTAATTAGCAACTTACTGAGCTGCTAAATGGTTAAATTACAATATTTTCACATTATTTTATTTAAATCTCCCTGTAGAACTCCTGTGATTGACAGCAATCTGGAGGGATGGTTCTGGAGGAATTCCACCTCCCTAGCAAAAAAATGATCATGGAATGGTTTGGGTTGGAAGRGATCTTAAAGCTCACCCAGTGYCCCSCYTSCCATGGGYAGGGACATCTCCCACTGTGCCMGGCTGCTCCAAACCCTGCCCAGCCTGGCCTGGGACACTTCCAGGGATGGCAGGATTGTGCTCTCCCTGTGTGCTGAGAATGTAATCTCAATAATTAAGTTTCCATTCCTATGTTGAATATTCAAATATATGCAGCCAAGTATTGTAAATTAACTCATCTCAGACCACTGTATTTGAAATGCCAAGGAATTCCCTCCATGGAGATGCTCCGTGTCACCAGAGCTGGGCAGGGATGGAATCCGAATCAGGATATTTGCTTAAGACCCATCATATTTTCTAATGAAGGTATAGATTCGTGAAGTTTGTGCTCGATACATCTCTGGTAGCCAAAAAAGTGCCAAGAAATTAATCCTTCAAATATTCTGGACTCTTTTTTGGGAGAAGGGTGGTAGAGAAGGGATTGACCACGTTGCAACAGCATCCCGAAAGAATCCAAAGAGCTCTGTCACACAGATAAACCCCCAGGAAAAGATATTTGTCCACGAAGATGAATGAGTGTCCCAAATTCCTGCCTTAATAAATCCTATTTTTATATTAATCACCTCTTGGATGAATTTGCAGCTTCTCTTATTTTAGCTCATCCCCAAAGGAAAATGTTTATATAAAGTGGTMACTCACATCTGATTTCCATCTCCCAAAACCCATATAAACACAGCAAGAGAATTTAAATCCCTAAACTGCCTTGCCTTTAGCCATCCACCCCAGCAGGACGACCATGATTATCCTTTTTCATAGAGGAATAACACTCCAGAGTTGCCAAAATCAAACTCTTTGAGCTTCCAATGGATGTTTGGGAAGGATGCACGAAGATAAACTAATTTTTGATGTCCACAAGAAAGGGAAGGTCTAAATTTGKCTGCTCAATGCAGAACCCACCCTATTCCCCACTGAGCTGGGCCTCCTTCCGACACAAATCCCAAACTCCAAAAGAATAAACRCACTTCCAATCTCTTCYCAAATGRCTTGAACCATCTGWGASCTGCAAAAATCCTGGAGAAWATATCRAARTGCAAGAACTACTTCATAAGGAGCACTTACCCTTGGAGGGCTTTTTCTCCAAACCAATCCCCCTTCCCCAGAGTGCGGAGAAAGACGGGATCTTCACTGGGGGAGTCCTCCCGGGTAACGTTCACCTGTGGAAAAGCAAAGACCCCACGGGATTCAGGAATCTTGTAATTAAAACAATGAAACCCTCTTTGTTCAGAAGGGAATTTGTCACCTGCTGGATCTCTCAGGGAAAGCTCCTGTGGAAACCATGTAATTCCCCAGAGTTCTGCAATCTTCCCTTGTCATCTCCAACAAACCACCCAAGAAAATGAGCAGTGATTTTCCACTACTCCTGCAAAAACACATGGCTTTTGATTTTTTAGAATGTTTTTAACTCTAAACGTGGAGTTGGCTGCAAAAGCACAGTCAAGGAGAATGAAAATCCCAAAATTTGCTGTGCATCAATTGGACACACAGCCTAACCTTCCATTAGCTTTGTTTCATGTAACTTCCAGCATTCCCAAGTTCTCTGAAGGGACAGGAATAACAAAACCCAGCTCCATTTGGACACAATTGCARTGAACCAGTTTTGGGCATTGCAGRATGAAGGGTGGCTCTGCTCCCTCTYCAGTTCAGGGAGGGGACAACTCCATCCAGGGCTGAAATAAAATCTTTCTGTTTTTTTAATCAGAGCTTTTACCAATTCCCAAAGCCAAAATGTGGGATGTCAAGCACATCCTTTTGGACTCAGTGACATCCCAGGGTAATTTCACTATTAAATTTACACTTGTGCTCTTTGAGAGGTGGCACACCCAGTGGGTTTGAGTTGTTACTGAACATCAAGTGGTACCAAACACCTGCACTGGCCCATGGAAGGCTGGGGAATGTGGGATGGACGAGCCAGGAACACTCCTGGACAAACAAAGGGAACTTTAATGCCGATTTCAGCGCTTTTTTCCAGTACTTCCACTGATCCCAAGCAGTGAGTGTTCAGGGATTAGGGCAGTGTGACTTGCACATGGTTCAAAGCTCTGAGTCAGGCTCCAGTGAGGAACCCCCATTAAATTGGTGCCACATTGTGCATTTTAAAGGGAAAAGGGTGGAAAATGGCCCAGCAAGACCCACGCTGCCTCTGGATAAAGGCCAGGGATGGAGCASCACCACTGCCCAAGCAGAAGGGAAYAAGCYATTTCCWTCCTTTATTATTCCACAGATTCCTGCACACAGCATGTTGGGAACTCATTTTGATTCCTGCTTGCTGGGATGTGAGGAAACAAGTTAAAGTAAATTAAACAAGCTCAGGAGTGGGGTCAACTGGGGTGCATCAGGGAGCTGACAGGGAAGAAGGGGGAAAGGATTTTGGTCTTAAAAGAATTATCAATGGAGGATGAGCTGAAAGAAAACAGAACAGAAGTTTTCTGAGTATTTCTGAGAGGAGTGTTGGGCTCAGAAATGCAAAAAATCTCAGCTSACTTCAGCCTGGAGAAGAGATTGCTTTGAGACGACTGTAGAGCAGAATTCCAGCGCCTGAAGGTACAAGAGAGCTGGGGAGAGACTTTAGATACAGGCCTGGAGGGCCTGGATACAAGGGGGATTGGATTCCCAGTGCCAGAGGGCAGGGMYRGATGGGATATTGRGAAGGAATTGTTCCCTGGGAGGGTGGGCAGGCCCTGGCACAGGGTGCCCAGAGAAGCTGTGGCTGCCCCTGGATCCCTGGCAGTGCCCAAGGCCAGGTTGGACACTGGGATGGTGGAAGTGTTCCTACCCATGGCAGGGTGGCACTGGATGGGCTTTGGGATCCCTCCAAGCCAAACCACTCCACAATTCTGTGTCACTCCAGACACTCAGACGTGACATGCAAGGCCCAGATTCCCTAAGAAGCTCTTCCTGATTCTGCTCAGCTGACTGCAGACACTGCAGGTGTGATCCTGGGAACAGGAGCTGCTGTCAGCATTTTTCTGGCTTCTTGGACTGCCTGGGTCAAATTTTCCCACAGGATATGGGATGCGATGTGCTTTAGCTTCAGCAGGTGCCAGGCAGCACACACTGACTCTGAAATCCTATATTTCATTGTTATTTATTCCATGTTTCACTGCTGAGGCTCTATCCYAGGCTGTATCCATAGCATGGATGAATTATTCCACCCACCTGACGTCTGGAAGCAGGCCTTCAAATCAAACCCTCTCCAGCTCCATCCATCTATCTATCCATCACTGGAGTCTCTTTTCCAAAGCAATAAGCTTGGAAGAGAAACTGGGCAGGATTTAAACTATCCCTGTGGGACTTTCTGTCAAGCCATCAGRCTCCAGCTGAGAGTCTGGGAATTTCTCAGCAAGTCCACGTGCCTTGCTTTATTTTAGCTGCCTTTTTCTGGCCAGCAGCTGTCACAGCAAGATAAAGGAGCAGAGGGCAGGGACAAAGCCAAGGAGCTGCTCCAGGAGGAGCCCAGGGGTCTGGAGCAATGGCCAAGGCCGTGGGTGGTCTCCTCCTCCATCCTGTGGGTCAGGGGTAAGAGCTGCAGGTCAACAACTGGGATTTGGTTTGTACATTCCTTTGGAGATTGAGGATCTGCTGGAGTGAGTCCAGAGGAGGCCATGGAGATGCTCCYAGRGCTGGAGCCCCTCTGGARCCAGGCTGGGAGAGCTGGGRGTGCTCACCTGGAGAGGARAAGGMTCCAGGGAGAGCTCAGAGCCCCTGCCAGGGCCTAAAGGGGCTCCAGGAGAGCTGGAGAGGGACTGGGGACAAGGGATGGAGGGACAGGACACAGGGAATGGGGTCACACTGCCAGAGGGCAGGGACAGATGGGATATTGGGAATTGGGAATTGTTCCCTGGGAGGGTGGGCAGGCCCTGGCACAGGGTGCCCAGAGAAGCTGTGGCTGCCCCTGGATCCCTGGCAGTGCCCAAGGCCAGGCTGGACATTGGGGCTGGGAGCAGCCTGGGACAGTGGGAGGTGTCCCTGCCATGGCAGGGGTGGCACTGGATGAGATTTAAGGTCCCTTCCACCCAAACCATTCCAGGATTCTGTGGCTGTTGGGAAGGGATGGGATCTACCCAACCACGTGTGGCAAAAGCCTCCCTGGACAACAGGGCTTCAAACACTCAGCATGGGAGGGAGCTGCACCATCCCAATATTTTTGCCCTTTAAAAAAGGAGAGGAAAAAATAAGGATTTGAAGCTTGGCTTATAATTGTCCATATTCTAGGAAGAGGGAATATTATTTCTGAGTGGTAAACAAAGGAGGGTGAAAGGGCATCACACCAACAAACTGGCTTTTCTGCAGGTCATTATTTTCTTCATTTCAGAAACTTATCCATGACATCATTATTGATCTGAAAAAAGACCATTTTTTTCCTTCCAACAAAGACTGGCTCCCAGAAAGTGGAAGATGATGGTGGAAAACGAGTTGGCAGCTGGAAATCATGTATATTCCCTCCAAAATCTCTGTCCTGCTACCTGGAAAGAAGCCAAGTGYCTCTCAAGTGTATTAGGCAGGCTAAAAAAATGATAAATAATTGTTGAATGGAAGGAACAAACTTGGGCTATCAAATCCCATCAGGGTTTTATGGGGAATGAGGTCAGAAAGCATATTTTCTGTGTGACCAGAGGGAGAGAAACTTAGACCTTTTTTCTTCCCCACAGAGAGAGCTCAGACATCCCTGCCTTCCTATTATTTAGAGAAGCTGGGAAAAGAGAGAAATGGGAATGAAGCTTGGAATTCAGCCTTGGAAAGGGGATGCTTAGCAAAGAAATCATGGAGTACTGTAGGGTTTACTTTAAAAAGAATTGAGTTTTTTGGTCATTTAAGCAGAGTCAACAACTGTCTCCACCCCAAAGTGTTCGCTGGGAGCACAGCCAGCAGGGGATTTAACTTTTAGCACTTTGGGACACTCTTCCTGCCCAGCCCAACCAAGGAGTTCAGTTAAATGCCAAGTGCTGCCACATCTTTGCCTCGGGGAGAGGGAGAGGCTGGAGTGGGATTTTGGGAGCCCCTTGGCCTGGGAGGGCATGAACTCACCTTCCCTTTGCTGATGATGAAGAAGGTGTCCCCTCGAGCCCCTTGGCGGATGATGTACTCTCCACTCTCATAGTGAGTCTGAAAAGGAAAAAAAAGCAAATTAAGATGAACAAATAAAAGCAAAGCCTGTTCTCCAGCCCCTATTTTGGCAGCTTTGCAAGAATATCACCCTGGACTCATTTTATCTCAGCCTGACATTGGCTGTGACTTAAAGATTGTCCTGTGGCAAGGAACAGAATAATTAAACTGCAAGCATTTGTGGCTTGCCCATTTTTCTCCTGGCGGTGCTGGTGCCAGTTTGTGCCCAGATGAATTATCCTCACAGCCTAAATCCATTTTTAGCATGTCAGCGAGACACAGGAATTTCCAACAGGGAATATGCTACATGAACTAAACTGCAATAAGAAGTCTGGTGTAAAATGATTATTTTCCTTCTTTTTTTTTT